TGTAGTTCTACTTTTACCTAAGTAATTGAGTATTTTCACTAAAGTAACCACAGTACAGCACCAATCACTGTTCTATCCTTCAAACCATTTTCTTTTTTAACTTGTGTTCAACTCAACCTGTTTTTGTTCTGCCCTTTTATGGAACCAATGATGCGTTTTCGTCCATACACAAAGGAATCTGAGGAAAGTTTATTTTACAGGCAATGTTATGATGAGGTTAATTCAGTTGGTGTTTGTCCAAACCTTTATACCGTGTGTGTGTGTGTGTGTGTGTGTGTGTGTGTGTGTGTGTGTGTGTGTGTGTTATTACTTAGTAACATGTTGCAGTAATGTGACTACTTTTAATGATTAGGGATTGCTAACTAATTACATTTCATTAGTTACTAAATCTTGTCACACACCTTTTACTTGGGTAGTTTTATGGGCTTGTTCACAGTTGCACCGGGAGTTAACATTAGGTAGTGGAGTGCTACCAGCTCGGCTCTGACTGGTTGGGTACATGTTAGCTTGCTGTCCGGGTGAGGAAGTCAAACTGATCTTATTCAAAGCTGCTGTTTCAAGTGTGCTTTTTTTTTATGATAGACTGAGATACCATTATTCACACATGTTCAAAAGTAATGACCAAACCTCCTTACATTTCCCATTATTAAACTTGCAGATACTACATGATCTAACTAAACAAAATGTCCTTACAGCCAAATTCACCTACTGATAGCTGAAAACTACAAAATGTCACTTTGATAGGCTCAGTTCTGCGGGCTCACTGGTAACACTATAGTCTCCTAATCAGAAGGTGCAACGTTTAAATCTTGCTGATGGCAGTTAGAAAGTATTCAACTGTCCCATTGTAAGTTTTCACTTTTTATTTTGTTATACCATTGAATTATCAACAAGTTAATTTGACTTTTTTGACACTGCTCAGCAGAAAAAGTCTCATGTCAAAGTGAAACATCTTTACAATTAATAAAAAATGTAAGACAAAATAACAGCAAGTTTTGACATCTTTTAAAAGTGACTCACCTAAATCATCACTGGTACAGTCGGTTGGTTTTAGAAGTCATACAGTTAGTTAAATGGAGATCACCTCTGCAGTGACTGCGTTTCAGGTTGGCGTAATGTTGGTACACTTGCATCTGGAAGGTCCAATTACTGGTGGAAAACGTGGCCAAAAACTGCTCCATTAAGACAAACACTTCAAGCAACTCAGCGACAAGGTTATTAAATTACATAATGGATGGATACAATACAAATTCCAAGTCACTAAATATCCATTGTTAAATTCATCATTAAGAAATAGAAGGAATATGAAACATGCACAAATCTGCCTAGAGCAGTCTATCCTCAAAAACTGAGCGACTATGCAAGAAGGGGAGGAGTTAGGGAGACCGCCAGGACACCCATGATTCCTCTGAATGAGTTACCACCTTCCATGGCTGAGATGGGAGAGACTTGTCCATACAACAACTGTTGCTCTTTGAAAAAAACTCAAATTAAATCTAGTCTAGGGTTTTCCAGAAGCCATGTGGGACAGTCTGAAGTCAACTGGAAGAAGGTTCTGTGGTCTGATGAGACAACAGTCAAACCTTTTAACTATCAAAATAGATCAAATGTGTCAAACTGAATCCAGCCCGCCGGATCATTTTATGTGGCCCTGGAAAGCTTAAAATGCGTGTGTTTGTCTGAAAATTAAAGTCTACACTAATTGAAAACATACACTGACCATAAACTACATCTCCCACAATGCACGTTGATTTTGGGACCCGCGAAGTATTGGCATCTGCCACTAGATCACAATGTTTTACCTTCAGCATTTAAAAAGTTGTTGCGGTTTGTTCAAATTCATATTTCTGGTTAAACTATTGTCAGTTTTAGACAGTTCAATAAATGTCAATCCTGTTTGGCCTGCAGCTTAGACTGTGGTTTAATTTTCAGCCCCTTGTGTGATTGAGTTTGACACCCCTGAACTATGTTTGGTCTAAACCAAACACTACACATCATCACCAACACAACATCCCCACCTTGAAGCATGGTGGTGGCAGCATCACACTGGGGATGCTTCTCTGCAGTAGGAAAGCTTGTGAAGGTGGAGGGTAAAATGAATGAAGTAAAAGAGAAAGATTTGGTGCCTTCTGCAAGAGGACTGCTTCACAGGAGAAGATTTATTTTCCAACAAGACACTGACTCCAAACATGCAGCCAGAGCTTCACATGAGTGGTTCAACAGCAACAATGTTAATGTTGTGGAGTGGTCCAGTCAGAACCCAGACCTCTGTTCAATTGAGAACTAAAAAGGGCCTATTCACTCATGATCCACAGGCAACCTGAGAGAGTTTGTACAGTTTTGTAAAGAAGTCTGAAGGAAAAAAATAGCAAAATTGAATGAGACATATGCACAAAGGCTTAGTGCTGCCAAAGCTGCATCTATTAAATACTGATTGAAGGTGGCAAACACTTGTGCAATCAATAATTTACTGTCCTATATTTTTTATAAGACAGTAAATTAATAAGACATATTTTTATTTTTTGACACATCCTTTACTGTTGATCAGTGTCACAAAAGCCAAATTGATGATTCAATGTAGTAGCAAAATAAAAGGTGAACTCTTCCAAGGGGGCGTGAATACTTTTTATAGCACTGTAGCTTCTGCTGTAGCAGGTACCAGGACTTACAGTTTCTTAAGGAACTAGTTTGAATAGAAACATTACATCTCGTAATTGACTTTTGTTATGACAATGTGTTGTGTGGCCAGCAGAACAAGTGACAGCTGTCACTTCACCTTTAAACACGAAGATAACATCGGTACATTACAGAAAATTAATGTTTGTGGCAAATTATGTTTTGCTATCAGAAAGTGAGGCGCAGCGCCCTCGCCGCAGCGCCCTGGGTTCGAATCAGGGTTGTGTCAGGAAGGGCATCCAGCGTAAAACACGTGCCAAATGTCAACAGGCGAGTCATTAGTGTGACGATGTGCTGTGGCGACCCCTAAACGGGAAAAGCCGAAAGTGACTTTCTTTCTATCAGAAAGTCAAATCCTTTAAACTACTTTACCTGCATGCACTTTAGCAGACTCCATGCCATGTAATGCACTTTACACCACCTCTGAGCCTCTATCACTGCAGCACTCATTCCTCTAGGTTATCTTGGTACCCTCACTGTTGGAAAAGTATTTTAAAGGGAAGAACCTGGCGCTAAGCATGTAATGCACTTTACACCACCTCTGAGCCTCTATCACTGTAGCACTCATTCCTCTAGGTTATCTTGGTACCCTCACTGTTGGAAAAGTATTTTAAAGGGAAGAACCTGGCGCTAAGCAGGCACCTGTTGCTGTGTTGTACCTGGCTGTCTCTAGTGCTGAACCTGTGTAACTGTGCAAGCATGGAAAAGCTGAAATACAAGTAAAACATGCATGTTTCCCATGTTTGGACTAGAGCTTGTGCTGTTTGTAGTCAGTCTCTGCTCTGAAGACAGATGTGGAACTGACTACCCAGCAACTGTCTGTAGTTGCCAGCAGCTATTAGACTGAAATGCTGGGGTTGTGCTGGGGTTTATAAGGTCTGCTGCTGTTGAGTAAGTTGGTAGGGACTAGGTGAAATTCAGTCTTTCTTCACTCTGTGAAGATGTTGCAGTCCTGGGACCACAGATTGCCCCATATGACGCTGCAGGACATTTCAACAGACACGGTCACACAAACAAGTCACTATATGTCTGAATATATGACAGGATGTTTCACACGTTCGTTACCAAAGTGACACAAAGATATTGTTTACTTTTTGAAGGATAAAGTCTGTTTTTTTGTGGGTCATTGTGTAAGGGTTCAATTTGTGGAAGGAAAGTAAAAGTAGTTTTGTACAAGCACAGTGTTGTGTTTTGTGATGTTTATAATTCCTTAGAGAACAGAAAGAGCAATCATTTGCCCTGTGGTTGCAGCTTGTAGCACTACTCATACAAATGACCTGTGCAATTGTGCAGTGATAATAAAATCTGTTGAAAGACTTCTGTTTAGATCCTGCTGGATTAATCAGACTACACGGTTAACATCATGTGCCCTAATTCAAGTAGTGTTGTAATTATCAATTCAGTTTAATGATCTGCGACATTAATTATATTGTTAAATTAAATTATATTAACATCATTTTACAATTCAGATAGCTCTAAACCAAAGATAATCTAATTTTCAGTGGCCTTTATATTTCTAATAAATCCAGCAAATGATTTTTGTTAAGTTGGCAACTACAGTGATGATATATGACACTTTTTTATTGGGTAAAAAAGGTATCAGATCGATGTGAAAGAAAAGTGAATATCTGCATGAATGTTACTTCATTTTTTGCAAAAAAAACCCTACTTGAGATTAGATCCCCAAAAATACACATTTAACATTCTTAATTAAATGAATTACAAAAGCAATCAGACATGGAAGGAAACGGAATGTGTACCTTCTTTATTTTTGCATATAGAGTCATGAATCTGGGTATTTGTACATGAAATTATAAAACTTTATTTTTGGGCAAAGACAAAAAAAAACAAAAACAAAACATCTGGCTTTTTGCCTACAGCCCTCCTCTCTGTCTCCTATCTCTATGACCCTTCACTGCCATCACAGCCACAGGAAGGCCCTGGCAGCCCAAAACACTGATACTATCTCTGCGCTCCTCATCTCCGTCCTCCACTGTGTTGAAATCTTGCCCATCCCACAAAGGGAAACTGCTGGTGTACAACGGTCCATGGCATGGTGTCCGTTTCTGTGGGTAGACAACTGGTAAATGATCAGAAGTATGGCGTGTTCCCTGATGAAGGATGCAGTGGAGACTCGGTGAGAATAATAACACATAATGGAGTTCAGTCACACCATTTTTTATTAGTAAGATGCATTATTTAAAGGTGCAGAGTGCTGTAATCTGAGCCTAATAGCTCTGCAACTGTAAACTGGAGGAAGCACTGTTAAATTAGGATCAGCAATTGAATAACTGATAAAAGACTATGATTTCATATAGGGGCAAGCAAGTATTTGTTTATTTAACAAGATATTCGACACAGTAACACTTTAACAATGTATTACTATATATTTAAAAAGTTTATTTAGTGACATTAAAGGTGATCTCCTCATATTTAAAACTGAGTCAAAAGCATTGCAAGTAATCACACACTCACTCACTTAGAGTATTATAAAGAGAGAGACACTTAGATTTCATTAAATCCCTTACAAGCCACAGGATGGTTGTTGTGTAACTCTGTTGGGCAACAACACTTACAATCACCTCTGACAATGACGAGAAGTATCGGTTACACGAATAGGCAGTGTTCATTAATTCAGATGGGGTCACATAACAACACAGAGTGCGTTGGAGATGCCACCAGGATTTCACATGGGTACTCCTCTGTGTGTTTTTCTCCAATAGTTTACCTTTTAACATCAACACCAGCATTCTTCCTTTAATCAGCCTTTTTCATATAACCTAAATTCACTCTGCCACTCATTGAATGTTGCTATTTGTGCTCACAGCCTTGCATTTACACTTTATAAAATACAATGAAGTGCATCCAGAACAGGTAACAGTCCCTTTTTCAAAATCTTTTGGTGTCGTTCTATAGCCTTTACAAAACAATAAAACAGATTAAATTATTAAATGGTGTGTGTGTGTGTGTGTGTGTGTGCTCTAACATAAACTTTAAAGGTTAGCTTGTCTAACTAGTTTGCTGCTCTCAGAGGTAACTACAGCCTTGCCAATGTGTTTTACTTTATCATTTCACAATTTAACTAACTTTACACCTGTCATTAGATCCTAAAGCGCTATTTTAAAATCTCCTCTTCTAAGTAGCATTTTCAAATTATCACAGATGTTTGCCTTTATAGTAAAACTTTGAAGGAAAGAATACAATTACACTTTTGACTTTGAGTGTCCCTGCTTCAGTGATGTTAATGGCAGTTGGAAATATGGTTCAGATGCTGAGCTCCCCTGTGGCTCCCTCTTCAACTCCCTGCAGGTGTTGCTGCGATAGGATGTGTTTGAGAGTGTCCAGCTCCTGGGTCAGCTGGCCTATCCTCATCTGCAGCTTTTGGTTTTCCTCCTGCAGCTGCACAGCTCTCTGCTGGGTCAGCAGGATCCTCCTGCGGGCTTTGTCCCGGCTCTTCCTAACAGCGATATTGTTCCTCTCTCGTCTCAGGCGGTACTCTGCGCTGTCCTTGCTGATGCTCCTCTTGGTTACCGGGGCCCTCAGACTTGGCAGAAGGAAGGGAGAAAAATCCTGCAGGTCACAGACACAAATATAATCAGGAAGTGTGGAAGCAGAATGACAGTGATTGATGAAAGCACATTTTAATTAATTATCCACAAATGAAACACCTCGGTCTCACCTGCTGAGAGTCGGCATGGTTCTGGTGATGGTTTGTGCTTCCTGCAGTGGAGGTGTTGCCGAGACAGGATGGTGAGTAAGGGGGATATGATAGTCCCATCATCTGCTCGGCCACTCTGTCCTCACTGGGCCCCCTCATTATTCCCTGAGACTGGCTGTAGGGGATCATGTCCATCTGAGAATGCTGACTGGTGGATCCAGCCTGGGTGGAGATGACAGGGTTCAGGTTGAGGGTATGGGCTTGACTTGGGTATGAGCTCGCCCACTCCTGGATGACAGAAGACACACAAAGTATTGGAGTGGTTGCCCACAAGACATTTCTGTTTTCTGCTAGTGTACAATTATATGTCAAATGTGGCAAATATTGTACTTTTACTCCATTACAGGTATCTGACTGCTGCAGTTGGTAGTTATTTTATATATTAAAATTTGATGTAAACATGACGTGTGGATGCCCTGGAGCCAAGTGGTTTCAGTGGGAGCCTATTTACAGCTGCACATTGGTATGTGTAAGCTGTTAGCTTTGTTGTGTTTGGGCCTAGGACTGAGTGACCACAGTGGTCAAAACAATTTATATAGCTTAAACTATCCAATAATATATAAAGTAGTTTAATTAGCTTAAATTTGAACAGCAACAACATAAAAATACAGCTAAAATACACGTTGGTAAAAATAAATATATCAAAGTTCCCTGAAAGGCCTTGTTTTGTTGCATATTGTGTAGACTACTTTTACTTTTGATGTTTGTAACAGTGACAACAACTCAGTAATGGAGTTTTGTTACAGTGTGATATGTACATTTATTTAGGTAAAGGGTTTTAATACTTCTTCCACACACATGTATGTGCCTTGCTTTGTATAGATTACTGCTTCTTCTTTTCTTATGAACATGAAGGCAGGTTGATAAGTTCATAAAGAAGGATAGGTGGATGGGCTTTCATGATTATAATTCACTTTCATCATGATTTAACCTGTTAACCAATGTAAAATATGCATAAGAGATATTTTTAGTACAGGTCAGAAAATACCTATTTTCAAAATAAAAGTTTTTAAATGGTAAATTTTGTGAGAAAGAGCAGACCTACAGTAACAGTAAGCTTTTTTAAATCAGTAATTAATAATTTAAGTAACTTTATAAATAAAATGGCTCGACCCAGCTTGACAAATGTGAATTTTTGGTGTTTTTATCTCTTTGGGTGATGGGGTTTGGAACATTAAAATAGCCTGTGTTAAATTAGGCTCCAGAACATTCTGTTTTTTTTTTTTTTTTTTTATTGTTTCTTCTATATTAAGTTAAGTTCAGCAGAATAAACAGCCATGAAAGCAGTTAATTGTTCAGGGACCTACATTAACACAAAACAAATAATGTAGCCTACAGAAAAGTTTTTAAAAACTGCATAAATGGATATAGTTTTCAAAAAATCCTTTTCAAATTATTTGACAGAAGTATTGTAAGTCTAAAAATTCTAGTTTGTAAGGCCTGCTTACTGTGTGGTTATAGTCATTCTGTCTATTCACCTCTACCCATATCTGCACAGCCTGTTAAATACAGCAGTATTTATAAAAACAAAACAAAAAAACAAAAAAACACAACAAAAACTAAACTTGGTTCAGGGCGCTTAAAGATTGCTCATGAGATCTAAGATAACTGTAAGAGACATCCAGACTTTTAATAGCTTTCAGCAGCTTTAATAATTTTCCTATGATTTAATTAAAAGAGCTTATATTTAACATCTGCACTAATAATCCACTGCGATAAAGTTATGATCTGACTTACCATGACACACACTGGATATCCTTCAGGTTCCTCTGGCTGGAAATGGTGTGAAAGTCACACAGAGGTAGCTGCTCCTCCAATGATGACTCCATCACTTCCCCTGTGGCCCTTCCTCTCTCTCTCACACACACACACTTAAAAAGGAAAAATAGTACACGTAGTGATGAAGAACATAGCTTTCTGATCATTAGATCATTTATTATTTCACAGGTGATAATATTGAGATTTTTATTAATTAAATTCCTTAGTATCTTTCCTCACACCAGCTAATAAGAAGCTTGTTTAAAAAAGTTGTGTTCACTCAAAGTCATTTTCAGTATGAACAAAGTATGAGGCAAATCTTGATGATATATTTCAGAAAATAGATACAATCTTTATCTCCTTGGTAAATCTATAACCCTTTATGGGGAAATAACCTTAATAAACACTATTTTGTGGTTTTCTTCCTTATTTAAAGAATTTGAACAAAAATATTCAAATTTATATGAAATAATAAACTAGATAAAATTAAAAGAGTGTATTTAGTATATAATAAAGTTGAAAAGGGTGGCATGAAACTCCCAAGTTTAAAAGGTTTCAGTTATTCTTTAAAGGCATCATTCACACCAAAACAAGATTGTAATTGTCATTGGTCTTTCTCAAGACTGCTCAAAAGCTTTCATCAGCTATTTCAAAAAGGTCTCCTTCCTTATATGCAATTTAATATCACCCATTTCTATCAGCAAAAATAAATCCCTAGAATGTCTGCTTTTATAGAGGATGCTGTTACAAACTGGCTGTGGTACTATTATTACCCTCCTGATAAACCAGTATCTTACAGCAGATAATAGGTTTTAACAGTAATGTGTTGATAGATGGCTCTCCCTATGTAAATAAAGAAATGCTAAATAAAGATATTATTATTATAAAATAATTTATTAGCTTATCTAAAGACTCAAGCCATCAACAGGTTTGTCACCCATATAGTAAAGATTTACTATGACTGAATGGAAAAAAGACTAATCAGAGCATTCATAGATATGTCATATTTAAAGATAACATTTGTATAAACCCTATAAATACCTTAAATAAGTGGGAGGATTCAATCAAGATAATAATTCAATAGAAACAGGTATTTAGCATTATTTATAATACAACTCAGGATGTCACTATATGCACAATAGGAATACAAATAATATGTACATTTTTACAACTCAAAAGATGTTACACATTGTGGCCTTGAACACATTAGTTAAGAAAAATCAAGGTTCAGTTCTACACCTGCTGTGGTACTGGCCAATTGTAGCCTCATTCTGGGATCAAACAGAGAAGTGGATAATGAATTATAATAAAAACTATAAAATCACATCATCATATATATAGCCTGGCTACAATTCCCAGAGGCATGTGTGGAGAAACCCAGGCACTGAGCATCACCTTATTAATACCATCCTTACAGTCAAACACAGTAACTTGTCCTGGTTCAGACCATAATAGGCCTTAATACATAGGCTAACATACAATAGGTTATATGATTACTATTAACAGTACTGAGCCTGTTTGTGTTGAGCTCTTTATCATTCACCCTTGTGTTTGTATCTGCATATCTTCTGTATGATATTTTATGTAGTGTGTTTGTGACTATGATGTAAGTTGGTATGTGTTGTATTTTTATTGTTCCCTTCATGTTAAGTCCCTCTGTGTGTCGAAGCGTGGGCTGACAAGTGGGGATTTAAATTTAAATGTTTTTGGTGTTTGGCTTTAAAAGAAAGATTCCTGACCTTGCATTGCATTCACATAGCCACCCTTTAGAAAGGATTAAGGTTTTTAAGTTTTTAGGATTGTGGTTTGTTAAATATAATGAGAAACTTGCCTGGACATGAATGGGGGCAGAAATGGAAATTATGCTTCTGATATATAGAGCAACGATTAAGTCAGCAGTTTATTACGGCTGTGGGATATATGCTCTGTGGCTAAGACAACGCTAGAAAAATGAGTGTACAAAGGCTCTGAGACTTTGCCGTGGAGCATTTAGGTCTTCTCCACTTCTTGCTTTGCTTATTGAAATGTGAAAAATGCCCTTATGTTTGAGATCTATTAAATTGGGATCACAATACTTGGCAAAACTGAATGGCAGTACTTGTAGCTTGTCAGTTCAGTGTCTTCTTGCAGGAACACACAAATCTTCTGGTAAAAATTAAAGGCTCTCTTTTTTAGAACAAATTAGTCAGTGGGCAGGGAAACTGGGTTTAGAGCAGAACTTTATTGCAGATCAAATGTGCTGGGTGTCAGTAACTTTTTGGCTGATGCCAGAACCAGATGCTGATTTTACTCTTCAATCTTTACTCTTAGAAAAGGATTCTAGTGAATTTTGTCTTTATGCAGAATATCTGAATAAAACAATGGGATCCTTTTTGAAGATCCATACTGATGGCTCTAGAGACCCAGGAGTGGAAAGGTGGGATTTGGGGTGTATGTGTCACGGTTTCATGTAAAACCTGGATATCATGTTGATATTGAAATGATATTTCTGTTTTGTTTGTGATTGGATAGAGGGTGTAAGACCAGGTAAAGTTCATTTGTTTTGACTCCGCTGCAGCTTTACTGTCTTTAATTGGAAGGACACCTAGATCTGGACCAGATGTATTACTGAGATTTTAATTACTTTGTTTAGTATTGGAAGGTCAGGATTTGAAGTCCAGATGTGCAGGGTTCCTGGGCATATGGTGGTCAGGGGCAATGAAATTGTGGACAGAATTGCAAAGGCATCTTTACGTAATTAAGAAATAGATATTAAATGTCCTTATGGGAAGGTTGAATACAGAAGTAAAACTGATGAAGGTATTGAGAGGGAGAGGCAAAATCAGTGGAAAAAGTAAGTCAGAGGGAGACATTTTAGTTTTCAGGCCACAAAACCATTTATTCTTATGGAAATCACAGGGATTCAGTTAAATTCACCAGACTGAGGCTGGGGCACTGTGGGCTAAACAAATGTCTGCAAAAAGTAAGGAAACATCCAAATGGATTATGTGAGTGTGGCAGTCCTGAGACAGTTGCATAAATTTTGATAATCTGTAGGAATTATGCCATGGGTTATGCCACCCACAAGAAGGCAGCATGAACAAATGCGACGCCCCCTCTCTCTCCGAGTTGTGTGCCTAAAAATGTGTGTTATAGTGCGTGTTCTTGTTTGTCCAGTTTATGTTCTGTGCGCGTAGTTCAATGTCTACATTGTGCCCAAGATACAGTCGCCACTGCCTTGTGGATATAGGATATAAGTCAAGACATTTCAATTTGGACCAGGAAGTCACATAGGAACTTCAGGACCTGGGACTTCTTCACCAGATTCCTACATCACCAGACACGCCGGCTAAGTCACCCCCTGAGAGGAGGTGTCGGAAGTGGTGTGAGCATAAACAAAACCGGGGCAAATGGGGAGGCATTCAGGCTAGGCTAGCAGCTAGCCCACACTGACCCGCAATACCATCCCTCATTATGGCCAATGTACACTCACCGGACAACAAAATAGACCACATACAGCTCCTGAGATCTGCACGGCGTAATGCGAGGGACTGCTGTGTTTTCATCTTTACGGAGACATAGCTAAATGACAACATCCTGGATTCCACTATCCAGCTAGATGGGCTAACATGCCACCGAGCCGACCGAGTCCTTGTGGAAGAAAGACTCATGGAGGGGGAGTTTGTGTTTACATCAGTGATGCTTGGTATCAGGATGCTGCTGTTGTTCATAAACCCTGTTCTCTGTTGGTGGAGTTTATTATCATCAAGTGTCGGTCTTTCTATTTATGTAGGGAGTACTCAGTAATTCTGTTGATAGCTGCGTACATTTCTTCCACCACTAACACCGGCAATAGGAGTGAGGCACTGAATGAACTCTACCAGGCCATCAATGAACAACAGACAGCGCACTCAGACGGATTCCTCATCACAACTGGGGACTTCAATCACATGGATTTAAAGGTTTTACTGCCCAATCTGCACCAACATGTTGACTTTCCAACAAGAGGAGACAACACATTGAACTTTGTGTACACAACATGCAAGGGGGCACGCAAGCCCCCCCACCCCCACCTGGGTCTCTCTCATCACATCATCATCATGCTGAGACCTGCATATAGACCCACAGTGAAAGCCATCAGACCAACACAAAAGGAGGTACGTGTGTGGCCAGAGGGGGCTTCCTCTGTTCTGAAGGACTGTTTTGACACTATAGACTGGGACATTTTCAAACAAGCAGCCACTCATAACAATCACATAGACATAGAGGAATACACTGAGCCAGTCACAGCATACATCACAAAGTGCATTGATGATGTCACATACTGCAAAAATAGCAGTGTTCGTGCCAACCAGAAACCATGGATGACAGGTGAGTTTCACAGACTCCTGAGGGGTCGGGATGTAGCCTTTAGGGCCGGCGACACCGCAGGCCTAGCAACAGCAAGAGCCACCCTGTCCCGTGGAATCAAGGGGGCAAAGCACCAATACAGCAAGAAAATATCTGGACACTTCAACGACACTAGAGATGCATAGAGTCTCTGGAGGGGCATCCAACCCCTCACAGGCTACAAATCCCCACCTCGGAGCTGTGATAGTGACATCTCTCTGCTGAACAGCCTCAATGACTTCTTTGGCAGCTTTGAAACGCAGAACACACCAGCACAGAAGACCATCACGCTGAGCACAGGGGCCAATGTGCACACTCCCACTTCAGACTCCTGCCCTCAGGGAGAAGGTATTGGAGACTTCTGGCCCACTCCACCAGACTTACAAACAGCTTCATCCACCAGGCCTTGAGGATGCTGAACACTGTTCACTACCTCCCCCTCTCTGCCCCTGGGCCATAACCCACAACATAAAAACACTACACTTGCTGTTTGTACAAACTCAATACATTCCCCCTTTTTGTTATATTACAGGTAAATCTGCTGCTGAGTAATGTGGAAACAAACAAACAAAAAAACGACCTCTGCTGTTTTGTTATATGCAAATCTGTTAGAATTATATGCTATTTGGGGGCGGCTGTGGCTCAGGAGGTAGAACGGGTCGTTTCCTAACTGGAGGATTAGCGGTTTGATTCCCAGCTTGTCCAGTCAACATGTCGAAGTGTCCTTGAGCAAGACACTGTACCCCCAGTTGCTCCCGGTGATGTCACTGGTGTGTGAATGTTTGGGAGTGCGAATGGGTGAATGGCCAAATAGTGTGAAAGTGCTTTGAGTATGCTGTAAAGCATAGAAAGGCGCTATACAAATATAAGACCATTTACCATTACCATTTATTTGCACCTCATCACCAACGCCCTGGTGATGCTGAACCATATGACAATCTCCTATTATTGTTTTGCACTACTGTCACTGACTGTACATGGTTTTGAGTCACAGCTTATTGGCTCTACCATTTAGATTTCTCCTAATTATGTCAATCCAGTTCTTATTCTATTCTATTCCATTTTTATTCTACTTTACAGTATTTTAGTTCCTAAATGTTATGACATCTATTTGGTGTCATAACATTTAGGTGACAGAGAAACAGTATTTCGATTTTCTGTATGTCCTGCACATATGGTGAATTGACAATAAAATCCCTGAAAATTGAAGATGGAGAGAAGTTTGTTCTTTACAAAAATATCTAATCAAGGGATTTCTTGCTTTTCTCTTTCTACATTGCTTGACCAACCTGAGCACCGCCAATTGATTGCAAGGGGTGTTATTCTTTTTTTTTTTTTAAATACCGATTTATACTCAATGATATAAACGGATGTTAGATTACTGTATATCAGTTATATGTGGGGCAGTAGTACGCCCAGTTGCCTTTACACTGCTTTGGATGACAGAAGAAGAAGAAGAAGAAGAAGAAGAAGAAGAAGAAGCAGTCCCTGTCCCTCTGTGGCTTCCGTAGATTAACATGAAGTCAAAATGGCTGCTCCCGTTGACAACGTGAGTAGGGCTGAGGAAGTTGCTGGTTAATGTAAAGCGTTTGTCTAATTTTTTTATCCTTTAGGTTAGTATTGAAGATCAAACTGACAATTGAATGCGTATTCTGAAATTGTCTTTTATGCTTGAGATTGGCTTCACAGTTAGTTGTTTTGTTTAGCGACCAAGTTAACCAGGTTGTTACAAGCTAATATACTTTCTCTGTTAGGTAGCTGGCCGTTTACGGAGTGTTGTACCGTGTTTCTGATTGCTCTTTACTTTCTGACAGGATTTAGTTAGAAGTGATTTGCCTAACGCTGTGCAGCTGCTGAATGATCTCACAGAACAGGTACCAGTATAATATGATAAGCTCATACACGTAAGAGTTGTCGTGTTAATTGTGAATTTAATGTTTGTTGAAATCATGAAGAAACAATTTATACACATACTTAGGTTTTATATTGACATGTAACGTTGTGTATTTCTAATAGACAGACCTGCGGTACACAAATTGATTCAGTACCAATGTATTGGTGACTATGTTGGCCGTGATAGAGCTCTCTGCCGAAGACATTTGTACCCGTGTGCGAATAAGGGTGGACAAGTTGTAAATGCAACGCTTAGTTTCTCACCAGAAAAATAGCAAACCTTATAAAATAAAAAAAATGTGTTGTAAAGATATAAATAATTATAAAAATGTTATTCATGAATACATTATGTAAAAAATTACTAAAGTGGAATAATAGCATTTATATGACAAAAATGATAAAAGCTTTGCGCGTTGCTCATATTCGGTGACATCAATGCTGGATGCCACACAAGTGTATTCTGGGATACTTGTTTGGCCCCAAATCATGGTTGTATCACAAGTGCTTCTATAATACATCCATGCCCCAAGTCCACTGAGCTCATAAAGGTTATTTGCTAAAACTGGTGGAGCAAGAACTTTCTTTTGCTGGAGGCAGACTTGGAACTGGAACTTGGGCTTCACAAGTCCACAAGAACAGGAGTAGGCTACAGAGAAGAACGCAGACTGAGAGAGGCCTTCTGTCTTTTTTTTTTTTCCTCTTTAGGTGGTCTCAGTCACGAGTCATGTCGGTGAGCTGCTACCTAAAATCAAAGATGGGACATTCAGGACAGAACAGGTGAGCAGGGATCATATTTGCTGTGTTTCCACTATCGGAACCTAACAAGTGCTACACCACATACTTAGCATAACCATCACCAAGCACAGACTGGACCATCCTACTTTGGTTTTCCACTGTATTTTCTCTGTCACCCACAGTGATGTGTGACATCATGGCGCCCTCTGAGGCAGACATGTTTGTGCGTTCCACTCTCAAATGCCGGCTTTTTCTTCATTTTCTTCTTTTTTGTGTTTTTTTTATTTCTTATTTTTTACTTTTTCTGCAGTGCACAAATGTCATGCACTGCTAACATACAACAGACAGGCATTGCTAGATATCGCCAACTCACACAGCCACTGGGAATTTACTGGTTTCATATCACTGGCGCTACAACTCATTCTTCGCTCCCACTCCCACAACAACCACCATCACCCCCGAGGCACCAGGCACGAGCGAGCAGAGGTGGAGTTTTTATTGCTGAAATGCCGGCCCCATACAAACTGTTTTATTATGGTGTGGACAGGAAGAGAAATGGGGTAGGAGTGATCCTGAAGAAAGAGCTTGTGAGGAATGTTTTAGAGGTGAAAAGAGTGTCAGACAGGGTGATCAGTTTGAAGTTGGAAATTGAAGGGGTAATGTTGAATGTAGTCAGTGGTTATGCTCCACAAGTAGGGTGTAAGTTAGAAGAGGAGAGATTCTGCAGTGAGCTAGATGAGGTGATGGGGAGTATTCTCAGAGGGGAGAGAGTGGTGATTGGAGCAGACTTCAACAGGCATGTTGGTGAGGGGAACAAAGGTGATGAGGAGATGATGGGCAGGTTTGGTGTTAAGGGAAGGAACCTAGAAGGACAGATGGTGGTGGACTTTGCTAAGAGGATGGAAATGGCTGTAGTTAACACCTTTATCCAGAAGGGGGGGAGGAGGAACAGAGTTACATACAAGAGTGGAGGTAGGAGTATGCAGGTAGACTACATTCTATGTAGACGAGGCAATCTGAGAGAGATTAGTGACTGTAAAGCAGTGGTAGGAGAAAGTGTAGCCAGACAGCATATAGTGTAGTGTGATAATAGAGTAGTGGAAGCTAGGCTAAGAAAGGAAGTGGTTATCTGTGAGCAGCAGTATGGCTTCATGCCCAGAAAGAGCACTACTGATGCAATTTTTGCTCTGAGAATGTTAATGGAGAAGTATAGAAATGGTCAGTAGGAGCTGCATTGCATCTTTTACCAGAGAAGAACTGTTAAATATCAGACAACTCACACTAAACTACCTTCCTCTGATTTTTGTGAACAAAGAATGCTGTATGGACATTCTGATCGGAGGCGCAGCAGCAACATACGGGACCTGGAAAAAATGCCACCGACGTGGAAAACGGGCGGCGCCTTGGTGCGGTTACGACAGAGGGGAACACGGACCTCACTCCCATCTATTCACCTGGCTGTTCCCTGGTCAACAAAATGGATGAAATTCTTCTCGTCAACAGGACTAACTCTGACTTTGCATGCTCTGCTGCTTTGTGCTTCACGGAGACCTGGCTCAGCGAGTCCATCAGTGGGAAAACGAGAGGAGGTTTAATCTGCTTCTACATAAATGAAGGTTGGTGCACAGATGTCACAGTGCTACAGAGGACATGTACCGCAGACCTAGAGTCTCTTGTTATCAATTGCAAACCCTTTTACTCTCCCCATGAATTCAACAGTTTCATGCTAATGGGAGTGTACATAACACCGTAGGCTAACACTAGCGCACTATGGCTTCTAGCAGAACTGATAACTAGTCTGGAGCTGGAACATCGCGACTCTCCACTCATTGTTCTAGGGGACTTTAACAGAGCAAATTTCACCCACAAACTGCCCAAATACATACAGCACATTACCCCGTCCCACCAGGGACAAAATCACACTGGACCACTGCTACACAACAATAAAAGACACCTATCGCTCTGTCCCCCGTGCAGGCCTCGGACTCTGATCACTGTATGGTCCATCTTATTCCAACCTACAGGCAGAAATTTAAAGCTGCGAAGCCTGTAGTCAAAACAGTGAAGAGCTGGACTGAGGAGGCTAAGTCAGAGCTACAGGCCTGGTTTGACTGCACAGACTGGAGTGTATTTGAGACTGCAGCTACAGACCTGGATGAACTCACTAACACTGTCACATCTTAGATCTGCTTCTGTGAGGATGTGTGTGTGTGCGCCCAAAAAGACCTTCTGCACATACAACAACAAGCCCTGGTTTACAGCAAGACTCAAGCAGCTTCGTTGTGCCAAAGAGGAGGCTTACAGAAGTGGGGACAGGACTCTGTACAGCCTGGTTTCAGCTCAGGTTTCAGCCAACGACTCCCCGTCTGTGTGGGGGAGCGTGAAAACCATCACTGGCTATAGAGCGCCCCCCGCCTTGCGCGCCGCTGTGGAGGACTGTCAACTAGCAGACAACCTGAATGTGTTCTACTGCAGATTTGACAAACAACACCCCCCCCAGCCCCCCACCTTTAACGATCTGTGAAAAGGATGGGCGTGGCCTCTTTAAAAGACAGAAGATCAGAAAAGCACCAGGCCCAGATGGTGTGACCCCCTCCTGCTTCAAAGTGTGTGCTGATCAGCTGGCCCCCATCTTCACACTTATCTTCAACAGATCAGTGGAGCTGTGTGAAATCCCTTCCTGCTTCAAATGCTCCACCATCATTCCAGTCCACCTGCAGCAGGGGACTTAACGATTACAGACCTGTTATCCTGACATCTATAGTTATGAAGTCCTTGGAAAGACTCAGTGACATCGTAGACCCCCTGCAGTTCGCCTACCGGGCAAACAGGTCAGTGGACGATGCGGTGAACATGGCACTGCATTACATCCTGCAACATCTCGACTCCCCAGGGACCTATGCACGGGCCCTCTTTGTGGACTTCAGCTCGGCATCCCTCTGATGTCTCCGGTACTTTTTACCATGCTAACTCTGAGAGACGAAGCAGTCCAAATAACTTCAAAACAGTGCTGATTTATTCAATGAACACAGGTAAAAATTAACATTACACGCTCGGGTATCTTGCACCTCCAACATGCACGCAGGCAGCTGAAAGATGAAAGACCCCGAACCACAACAGGC